TTGTGACATGTTCGGGCGAACTCGAACATGTTTGGGTTCGCCCAACACTGCAAAGGGGGGGGAGGGGGAAAGCTTACGTTTCAGTGGATGTGAACCCCGAGCTTATGCCTGGCATGCAAGCAACTACAGATCAGCAGTGTGCACTACATACGCCTGAACATGGCCTTAAATGAATATGGAAGAACATAAACAATGCCACTCATTCAATCATGGTTAACCCCTGGCCTGCCTGCATCCCTCCCTCCCCTGCGCCATCAAACCTAGCGCTCCACCCTCCCCAACTCTACCTCCTTGCATTGGAGCTGCCATAAATAACTAAGTTAAACGGTAAAAAACCTGTAAACGTGTAAAGTCCTCCACTTAACTAACCTAGTGCTGAAACAACAAGGTTGCACCTACTACACCGTGGCGTTTTTTAACTTAAACCGAAACCTGCTGGCACAGCCCTAAAACACATCCTAACACCCCATTTGTGCCTATCTAATGGTAGATTTGGGCAATTTATGTCAGAATATTATGCTCTAGCCTGCAGTGGGGTACTCTATAGCGAGTACAACCCAATTAGGGTTTCCTATATGTATGCCAACTGCTGCTAGTGCAAACCCTCCTTTCTTCATTCTTACTTTCTACAGCTAGTTCTGACATGGTATCAGAGCAGGTCGACCCTCCTGGGTCGATCCTGTGGGTGGGCCCACCACCTAAGCCTTCCGCTGCTACTGCTACTGCTACTCTGTGTGTCGCACGCCTCGTGGCGTGCGACGGATTTTTCATCCCGCCGTGCGCCCCGAGGTGTGCGGCGGTTTTCTGCCCGCCGTGCGCCCCGAGGCGCGCGGCGGTTCTCTGCCCGCCGTGCGCCCCGAGGCGCGCGGCGGTTTTCTCCCCCCGTCGCCCGCCGAAGCGCCCCCGGGGACCCGCGCGTCGCCCCCGTCGCCCGTGCGCGGCCCGTACTGCACGAGCGCGGCCCGTACAGGCTGCGCCAGGCCCGCGCGCGGCCTGTCCTGCACGCGCGCGGCCCGTACGAGCTGCGCCAGGCCCGCGCGCGGCCCGTACGGGCTGCGCCAGGCCCGCGCGCGGCCCGTACAGCCCGCGCGCTGCTCGTACGGGTTGTGCCAAGCCCGCGCGCGGCCCGTACGGCTTGCGCCAGGCCCGCGCGCGGCCCGTACGGGCTGCGCCTGGCCCGCGCGCGCCTCGGGCCGCCTGCGCGCGGTTCGTACGGGCTGCGCCTGGCCCGCGGGCGCCCGGTCTCCTCTCCCACTGAGCTGCACGCCGTCCCTCGCGCTTCTGACGGCGCCCCACCCCTGCTGCTGCCCGTACTCCTGAATTAGGGTTTGGGGGTGGAGCGTATGGGGGTGCCGTCTCTGTCAGCCGTCCCCTGCTCCTCCTCCTCCTCCGTCTCCCACTGCTGCAGCTGCTGCTCAGGGGGGTGGGTGTGTGGGAGCCGAGGGTTTAGGGTTTAAGGGGGGTGCCATGGGAGTGGAGCTAGGGTTTCAGCAGGGGGTGTGTGTTGGGGGGTGTGGGACAGTTGGAGGAGGTTGGGTGGAGGCAGCCGTCGTGTCGTCTGCAGCGCCTGTATTCCGGGGTTCTGATAGCCACCGGTAGCTCAGAGAGCCGGTTGCACCTGTCGCCCGTGGGTCCGTTGCTCCTGTCGCTGCTGATCAGACGCAGAGCCTGTTACTCCTGTATTCCGGGGCCCTTGCTCCCGGTAGCCACTAGAGTTGCACCAGAGCCGTCTGTTGCCCGTGTGTCTGCAGCTTCAGTCGTCGCCTCCACTCTTCTCTCCTCTCGCCAGCCCTCCTCCTCCTCACTTGCCCTCTGTAACTGCCTCTAGCTTTGCTCATAATTGTGCACTTTAAACTATTGCTTCTTAAACTTGTGCTCAGAATGTGTGGTGACATTGTGATCCACCCTGAGCTTGTACTGCTTTGCTTTCTCTGCTGATTACACCCCACTTTGGCTATGGGGTTGTGTCAGAATATTATGCTATAGCCTGTAGTGGGGTACTCTATAGCGAGTACAACCCAATTAGGGTTTCCTATATGTATGCCAACTGCTGCTAGTGCAAACCCTCCTTTCTTCATTCTTACTTTCTACAGCTAGTTCTGACAATTTAGTATAGGAAGGTAAGTGGGATGGCGTATAGGCTAGGTCAACACTAGGAAAAGTAAATCGGGATGTGAAACAGCTCGATTTACTTTTTCCGTCACTTACGTAGCCAACCAGCGCGACCAATGTCGCGCTGGAAATTTCCCGAACATCTCAGATGTTCGGGAGAACGCGGTACATGCCCGAACATGTTCGATGTTCGGGCATGTACAAATGCGCGCGAGCGAACGCCCGAACATGTTCGGGCCGAACCCGAACATGTTCGCGCGAACATTTTAACGGAAAAAAACAAAATAGTTCGGTTCGCCCCCGAACATGCTCGGGCGAACCGAACACACGTTCGCGATTTTGCTCATCCCTACACGTACTTAATCAGGGCTTATTTTTCTTCCGCTTTTTGCCACTTGTTCCGTTGTCGTGCAGCGTATCACAATACTTTGCCTCAATGTGTTTCACACGTGTTGCCTGGCCGTGCTGTTGCGCGTCCATTTGGCCGCTGCCTTTGCCGTTTAGGAAATCAACCGTAAAATAGTCGCGCCAATGTCACGAGGCCCTTAGAACCTATGGGCGCGGGTGTTTCTACCTACTTTAAGAGATTAGCTGAACCTACTAATGTTGGCTTAGGCTAGTCGAAATGCAGAGAGCTAAGGGCTGGGAGGGGTTACGATCTGGCCTAGACGGAAAACGAGCTGCACAAATGACGTGCAGCTCTCATTTTGTCCCCCGCGACAAAAACGGGCCGAGATGGCCCGACCCAGGCCGCGCTTCGAGGGTACCTGGCCCGGCCCAGCCCGTGCATGGGCGGGCCAAAAGCGGGCGCATGCGGGAGCCCGGGCCCACGTCGAATGTCTGATGCCCGGCCCGGGGCATTTCCGGGCGGGCCCTGGCCCGCCTTCATGCTCATCTCTAGTGCCGGGAATTTTACTGGTCAAGTCAACCCTACATCTCGGACGTGTGACCCATCCCTGGGTGTACAAATTGTAGCATGTGGCGGGCGATGGGGAGTTGGGACGTGGGCCACTGTACACAATTTTTCGCGCCACCAATCAGCGTGCAGTGTGAGGCGCGGGATTCCTGACATCAACATGGTGTTATAAGAGTACGTGGCAGGCGCAAAACACGGCTGCCATCTACAGTGGCCCTGCCACAAACATGGAATGCGCCCTTTATGGGCATCCGCTGTGCCTAAAATAACACCCTCGTTTCGCCTATGGTTTCGTTTCCTCACTCTCTTTTTTCTTGCCTCCTCCCACGATTTTCCTCTTTCTCTCCTTTCTCCTTCCTTCCCTCTCCTCCTTCTTTCCCTCTTAACGGGAAGCACAAACTCTCACGCGGCTTTGTATGGCCTTACACCACACTGCCACCTTTGCCACCCTCCCTGCCCTCTGCACCTCCACCCATCCTCTGCCTTCCATTACAAGTATGACTTTTTCCACAAGCACGTACTGGACCTGGGTCGCATGGTTGAGGCCAGCCCAGGCCTGCCTCCTAAACGGGCAGCTGGGCCAGGACTGACGGTCGGGCTGCCCATGTGAAAAGTCGGCGCATGGTCCGGCCAGTAGGGTCGTTTGTGGCGGGACTGGTAAGGTTGGGCCACAAGTCAGGATGGGCTAGGTCTTGTCCGACTTACACTTCATCATATTCACGTTTTTTCAGTCTGTTTTCCAAAGACTGGATAGTACGGTTTCCATGGTGCCTGATTATAAACCACAACAATGATAACCCCCGGTTTGAAAAGGGGAGGAGATTGACCAAGGCGAATGGATTTGGCGGGGTCGAAACTCAGGCATGAATGTTCTGACTATATTCTGACGCGAGTGACCCAGGTCGCGCGTGTCATCTTCATGGTCCTATCAGGGCTCGATATCAGCCCAGCTGTCCGCACAATGCCGGGCGGCCACTGGGGCCACTGCTGCTGGCTCAGCGGGTCAAGCTTGGCGGGTCTGCAGTGGGCCGATCTGTCAAATATCACAGCCCAGCCTGGTTGAAACCCGACCCGACCCGGGCTAAAACCCGACCCGAGCGTGGAACTCGGGCCGGGTCCGGTCGGGTTTCGGGCCAAGATTGACCCGACCCGAAATCGGGTCAGAACCAATGAATTCGGGTCGGGTTTTTGACGCGACCCGATTTCGACACTGAGGGAACCGACACGCCCTAGGTCGAAATGTTGTCGAGGGCATTTTTTCCCCTCGACAGCAAACCCTAGCCACTCTTGATCTCGATATTGGCCGACGGCAGCAGGGAAGCTAGTCGCCTAAGCAAAGCAGCTACTAAGATTCCACCCGTTCTAACCTCTATTCCAGACCATCCTAGGTAGATTCTTAACATTACCTGCCGTCGACAGTAGATCTTGTGGCTGAAATGATGCTATTTTACAGATCTGCGTTTTTCTAGTTTTGGGTGACGCTTCACAAGATAAACGCATCATCCTAGGCCAGCAGTAGCTCAAGGGCGCTTAGCAACTTCCGGGATACCATATCGTATAGGGTTTTAGGGTCCGCGTACAGTGTGTTGGTGCAGCACAACTTGTGATGAACACCCCCAGCCCCCTCTAAAGGGGTGGGTCTACCTGGCCCGACCCGGCCCGACCCGAACCCGGGTCTCCTTTGACCCGAGTGAGTAGGCCCGGGTCGGGCCGGCTGTTTCAAGAATCCGGCCCGAGCCTGGCCCGACCCGACCCGACCCGAGGGTCCGCGTGGCCCGGCCAATTCGGGTCGGGTCGGGCCGGGTCGGGCCGGCTGCTCAACTCTACTCTTTGGTTGACCGTTTTTATTCCAGTTTTCATCTCTTCTTGCTTGAATTGTGTGTGTCCTTCCTTGGCTCACTATTGCTGCCTGCCTGCTATTGTGTTCCCCCTCTCTCCTCTGGTCCTACAAATTCTACCCTCAATCCATCAGGGACCTTTCAAGTAGTGACTTAACCGGATCTATACCATCCAGCATCGGAAGCTTGAGCAGCCTGACACATTTGTTAGTATCACCATCAACTACGTGTTTTTTGTCACTGCCCTTATTCATGCTCGGGTTGAGCAACTAAGTTCCACAAACATGTTCCTAATATTGCAATTACCATATGATTTTAACATCGTTCCAATGGTGTCTCACAAATGTGTTCCTTTTTAACGCACCTCCTATGTGATTTCGGACGTCATATGCTGGCAAATGTTCGACTGCACAATGCATGATCTTCAACCCCTCTGTTTTCTTCACTTCGTTTATCAGAGATCTCTGGAATAACAGCTTAACCGGATCCATCCCATCAGCCCTTTGCACATTGAGCAACTTGGCATATCTGTCAGTATCTGCCTCTATTCAGTGCACTTGCTGATTCACAAGAGTGATTGTTTCTGCTGGTCAAGGCACAGGTATGTATGCCCTCATATCTCCCTTTTGTCAGCTCCTTACTAGGTTGTATTCCTTTCCCCCGTAATGTGCCATAAACTCGTCCGATATAAGTTCCCACCTTGTTAGAATCCTGGTAAGCCTCAGCAAGATTGTCCGTGACTCGTGGCAAGGCCGGATCCACGCGGTTCTTGCAGTGGGCGAAATGCCAGTGCAATGTGGATCAGCCTCAGCGGGGTTAGCTTCCCTGCCAGCTTGTGGCGACCTGGTGGCACATCTGTATTGATGTATTAACCAGTCCTTTTCTCGGACTAGTATGCATTATACCTGTGCAAAGGAGCGAGCCGAGTAATGCTCGACTCGTCCCTAGCCTTGCTCAGCCGAGTTCGAGCCCGAGTCGAGTAATGCTCGGCCGAGCATTTTTCCCCCTGACAGAAACTCGTTACTCGCCTTATAAAAGAAAACTCGGGCGAGCATTTAGAAAAGCTCGTCCGAGTACGAGTAATGCTCGGCCATGTGCCCAACTCCTGCATAAAACGACTATGTACGTAACCACTATTGAAGGCCACTGGTACCACGGACGGAAGTATTGGGGTTTCCAGGGCCGCCCAGGTAAACCCAAGGTGGTCCCAGGAAGCCTAGGGAAGCCCAGGAAAGCCTTGGGTCGCCCTGGGTAGCGTAGGGTAAAAACTCGACGAGTTCCATAAATGCTCGCCTAAAAGCACGCGAGTACTCGTCGAGCAAAAAAAAACTCGGCGAGTAAAACTTGGCTCGACTCGGACGAGTAAATTTTACAAAAAACAAAACTCGTTACTCGCACCCAAACGAGTAACTCGGGCGATACCGAGCGAGTAACTCGTCTCGTTGCACAGGTATAGTATGCATTATAGAGGAGGAATCTGACAAGATTCTAAACAAGACAATTCTCGCACACAATAATGATTCGTACTTGTATTCAAAGTCGTACTAGTTTATACAACCCTACTTACGGGCCTTTACCCCAAAAGCACGATTATCAAGTGAGGCAAGTGAGTGAATGATGATGTGAGGCATCGTCCAGGATTGTGTTTGGCAGAATGATTAGCTGTTAGTGCTGGGCTGGGGTAGCATGTGCGTCAAATTTGACTGTGTGAGCGTGTGTGTGTATGTGTGTGTGTGTGTGTGTGTGTGTGTGTGTGTGTGTGTGTTTGTTTGTGTTTCCAGTGTACACATAATTTGTAGCCCTCGCTCTTCTCCATTTTTCTTGCACCCCTACCCATGGAATCCACGACGTGCCCCATCAGAGCTCTCTCATGGAACAGCTTGATGGGATCAATCCCTCCAGCTATCGGCAACTTGGTCAAGCTTACACATCTGTAAGAATCCTCAATTATAGCACATTTGGCCTAACGTCTCTGTAAGAGTGTGCTCTTGGCCTAACATGAGAGCCTCTGTATACTGTTGACCAAATAAAAGCACACTTGAAGCTTCAGACTTGTCGGTGCAAGAGTCTGAGGTGAGTCGACTTGCCACGAGTTGAGACATGTCACGGCTCCCTGGCATGCAGCAGCATGTGCTGGCTGGCTTGTGGTGGACTCAAACAATCAGAAACTGCGAATAGCCATGCTGCGCTACAAAACGAGCCAAGCCGTTGCCCCACGCAGAGGCACAGTGTGACCTTGGTTGGGCCCATGGGCAGAGTTGTTTTCACACCTGAGACCCATTCTGACTTTTCATGCTTATGTGGATCGACTTGCCTCTCTCCTCCCCTCCTGCAAAACCCACTATCGGCCAATCAGGGACCTGTCAGGTAGTGGCTTATCGGGATCGATCGCATCGACCATTAGCAGCCTGACCACGTTGTCACATATGTCAGTATCCCCTAATAACCTTTTCTCCCCATTTTTACTTACCCACTTATTTTCGTAGTTGTTGCAAGATCATGTAGTATTTTTCTCTAATGCGCTCTGCACACCATGGCCTTGGCCCCAAATGGCCATGAGTATCTGACGAGGATAGGTAGCACTTGTGTCAGACTAGGCAGAGGCAAAATGAGTAGTACTCGAGCCATGTCCTTTTCTTCTTTGAGTCTCCTCATCACCTCGCCCCCCACGCACACCCTACCCCTTTCGCCACCACCTACTGCCCATATGGCCCCCCTCCACCTCCCTTGCCGACTCTGCCTGTATGCCCCGTCCTCTCTCGCCCCCACCATATTCCTTCACAAATCACGCCTACTGACGAGGGTTGTTGTTTGCTCCCCTCACCCAAATGCTACACACCCACCCCTAACTTCTTAGGATCGTAAACGCCTTAGTCAGCAATAGTCTACTTGCTATTGCTTATCGTGTTCTCCACGATCTCCCGAATCCAATGATATGCGCAGCTCTGCTTGAAGTTGTCAATACACACTTCAGCAATTTTCAGAATCTGACTGGTTTCAATGTTATCCAATGTTGTCAATGTTATGATTTCCAGAATGAGTACAAGCAGTTTTATAGTCAGGCAAGACACAAAATGCGGTTCGTAACGTAACTTCCTTCCCAAGCAATTTCGTGCGCCTCGTTTCACCCCAAGTCGCACACGTAACCGAACCGAATTCGCCGAACACTCCTCGAGTCCGATTCTTGAACCTTCTCGAATGTGCCTTGGTCTAGAACCACATTTCCCCCTCGTCGATCTCATTCTCGATGCTTCTGTACCTTTCTCTCTTCCTCCTTCTAGCACATTCCTTCTCGATTTCTCTCTTGCTTCTCACGTCGTAGGCCGATTTCCACCGTCTTAGATCTTAAATCTCCAACGCGCTTCCATTCCGCCATCATTTCGCATTTCGCCGTAGGTTCCGTGGTTGGGCGAACCAACCCTAACAATCTCCCCTGTGGTTCGTCAACCACGAACACCACTCGCACTCCTCCTTTGCTCCTCATAGCCTTCACAGCGTCTAAGTCAGCTTCACGTTCCCCTGCAGCTCCTTCATCTTAACCCTCTGCTTACGTGTCTTGTAGTTGAGCGCCTTGACGTCCCAACCTTGAGACACGTTCTTAAGCCTCTCGCTACTCATCGTCATCTCAACACCCAACACCTCTCTGGTCTCGTACCCCTCAACACGTTCCTCCTTTGTAGCCACTCGTCCCTTTGCAGTTGCATTCGTCTTTAATCCCTTCACCATGATGTCCCCTTTCACAGCTTCAGTTCCCACAAACTTCGCATTCACTGCTTCATCTTCAACAACGATTGTTGCTGCAAAAGTGTTGACGCCAACTCCATCTCCACCGTTCACTGCTGCTGCCTCCTTGGTGACTATATCTTCTTCCTGCTTCACTGCATCCTCCACACTCACTGCCGTATCATCTATCTCCTCACTTTCATCAACCTCAGTTGATATCTCCTCCCCTTCTCCTATCTCAGCATACTCGGGATCCTCATAGATCTCATCCACGTCACTCATCGCGACCAAGTTCATCTCATAGAACCTGTCTCTGACGTAACCCTCTGCGTACTTCTCCCACTCACGACCAAACACAGTAACCTTGCCACTGTCATAGAATATCTTGCACCCCAAGTCATCAAGCTGTGACTGACTGACCAAATTAACCTTCAAATCCTCAACTAGTAGCACATTCTCCAGTCTCATCTCTCCATACGGACTCTGCAGTATAACGTCGCCCTCTCTTGTCACTGGCAACTTCCCACTGTTACCTTGCAGTATGAAACGCTCACTCGACTCCCTCACGTTCTCAATCCAATCTGACCTGAATGTCATATGACGCGTGCATCCACTGTCCATGAACCATGCCGTCTTTTCACGTCCATCCGTCTGTGGAGCCTCCTTCGGTAATCGCACCACGTTCGCGAGATGCGCTCCCCCCAAAATCACGTCCTCCTTTTCCGCTTCCGCTATGTTCGCCTTTCCCGCCACATTCCTCTGCTGCGACGGTCCCTTGTAGCTCCTGCTGTTTGGATTGGAGTAGCACTCTGCAGCACGATGCCCGTAGCGCCCACAGTAATCACACTTGCCGCCAAAACCTCGTTTCTGCTACCACTCCGCTTCCCCATTCTCCACTTTCTCGTTCGCCACCGCATTGCCCTTAGAGTTTCTGCTTCGCGGATTTTCGTAGCAGTTTATCGCCTTATGGCCGCGCTTTCCACACTGGTAGCACGCTCCGAACGCCTTCGTTGCATTCACCAAAGCCGGCCTCTCCTCGTCAAATTCCTTAGCTGTTGCTGCCGCTTTCTTCTTTCTCATCTCCTTCACCGTCTCAAGCGACCGTAGAATCTCCTGCAGCTTCATCAAACTCTCCAGTGGTTGATACGTGAACATTCCGATGTCGGATTCGTACTCCTTAGGAAGTCCGTCGACTATGTAGTCGATCATCGCTTTCTCTGTCTCCGCGGCTCCCATCACACGTAGGTCGTCGTTGTAGCTTTTTGCCCTGTTGATGTAGGTGATTATTCTCTCGCCTTTCTCCATGCTCAGCGACAGCAGTTGCTTCCTAATCGTCTTCCTGTTGACATCGTTCGTACCCATGTACGTGGACTCCAGGTACTCCCACGCTCGCTGTGCAGAGTTCAGCTCCCCTGCAAACTGGTCCAAATCCACCGCGATTCCATCGGCAACTGAATGACAAAGCTGAAAGAACGCTTGCTTACTTTGTTTCTTGAATGCCGCTATTTTCTCCTTTGTATCCGTCGTGGAAGGTGGAACTCCATCCATTGTCTCCTCGTTGGGGCGATAGTACGGCAAGAGGTCCACCTCCTCTGCCCTTCGAATGAACTTCTTTCGCCACACATTGTAGTTGCTCCCGTTGAAGCGCTGGGCTTCACTGAGCCCGATCGTCGGTTTCGCCACCAAACGGCCACTCGCAAGGGCCTCGAGAAGAGCCTTCAACTGCGGGTCTCCAAGACTCACACTGGAACCCGAACTCGCCTCGTCTCCCATAGCGTAGGCGTGAACGACTCCTCTTCTCCACTAATTACACTTAGCGCACCAAGTGAATTCACGACGATCGACGCGCCTGTTCGTCAAGCTCTGATACCAGTTCTTAGGATCGTAAACGCCTTAGTCAGCAATAGTCTACTTGCTATTGCTTATCGTGTTCTCCACGATCTCCCGAATCCAATGATATGCGCAGCTCTGCTTGAAGTTGTCAATACACACTTCAGCAATTTTCAGAATCTGACTGGTTTCAATGTTATCCAATGTTGTCAATGTTATGATTTCCAGAATGAGTACAAGCAGTTTTATAGTCAGGCAAGACACAAAATGCGGTTCGTAACGTAACTTCCTTCCCAAGCAATTTCGTGCGCCTCGTTTCACCCGAAGTCGCACACGTAACCGAACCGAATTCGCCGAACACTCCTCGAGTCCGATTCTTGAACCTTCTCGAATGCGCCTTGGTCTAGAACCACATTTTCCCCTCGTCGATCTCATTCTCGATGCTTCTGTACCTTTCTCTCTTCCTCCTTCTAGCACATTCCTTCTCGATTTCTCTCTTGCTTCTCACGTCGTAGGCCGATTTCCACCGTCTTAGATCTTGAATCTCCAACGCGCTTCCATTCCGCCATCATTTCGCATTTCGCCGTAGGTTCCGTGGTTGGGCGAACCAACCCTAACATAACTCTTTGTCCTCCTCATTCCATTCCTCGTCACCACTGTTTCCTTGTTAGTGTGGAGACATTCAAACTTACATTGAACACAATTTTTACTCAGGAGCAATTCTTTGGTTAATTCGTTACTTGTCCAGCATTGATTCGTTACTTGATTCACAAGGAGTTGAGATCCAGACAAGAAGTCACGTTGTTATTCAGAGGTTTCAAGTCTTCTTGTACATTGCATTACACATATTTGTACCTAGGCTTTTGTTTTCTCGCCTAAAATTCTTATGAGGCGCCTCAAAAGAGGCAAAAGTTTACTCCCCTCAGCTCTCAATTCTAGCGCTAGTACTCATTTGGTAGCTGAAATTCCTGGCAATCTAATCTCCCTGTACTTGTCACCACTCATTTATGTAATTGTCCCATCAATACTTGGACTTCAGTGTTCTCTCTCGTCTAGTCTCTGTCGCTTTTCCTCTACACCCATGGATAAACCTCATGCTTCATCAGGGATCTTTGGAGAAACACTTTCACTGGATCGATTCCATCAGCCATTGGCACCTTCACCAACCTGTCATACCTGTCAGTACTTCCCATTTGTTCGCCCAATGCCCACATTCAGAGCCAGTGGTTAATGGCAATGTGGAACTTCTTGGATGTTGCCACATTTGCCAACGTCTTCAGCCGTTTCACCACAGCACCAAACCTCCTCCACCACCACGACAACCATCACCACCACCTCGTACTCCTCCTCCTCCTCCTCCTCCTCCTCCTCCTCCTCCTCCTCCTCCTCCTCCTCCTCCTCCTCCTCCTCCTCCTCCTCCTCCTCCTCCTCCTCCTCGTCCTCGTCCTCGTCCTCGTCCTTGTCCTCCTCCTCCTCCTCCTCCTCCTCCTCCTCCTCCTCCTCCTCCTCCTCCTCCTCCTCCTCCTCCTCCTCCTCCTCCTCCTCCTCCTCCTCCTCCTCCTCCTCCTCCTCCTCCTCCTCCTCCTCCTCCTCCTTCTCCTCCTCCCCCTCTTCCTCCAACCTCTTGTCCAGCTCCAACCCCTCAACCCAAGCACCAAAGATTTTTTCTAGGCAATGAGCTTAGGTTGAATGGAAGCCAGTCCATGTCGAACAGTAACAGGCTGCCACTGAGTCAGGCGAATTGTAAACCGGCAGGTTGAACCATTGAGGTATCTGGCCAAGTTTTTTCTCTTTCTTTCTTTCTTTCTTTCTTTCTTTCTTTCTTTCTTTCTTTCTTTCGCGGAAGGGCTTGGTGGTTTACTCACAACGTTTGGTAATCAGACTGTTTTCTACATAAGGCAGTGGTTTTCCAAGGCTAAGGCCGGGTCATGTAAGGTTGGTTCTCATAAAATTTCCAGCACAGTTACCCGTTTTTTTTTTTTGTGTAACTGAACTTTTATGCTTCAATTGATTTATGACACGAAACTCTTCGAGACGCTGTTCATTTGTGAAACGTTCAAGTTGTGTAGAAAACATGTCATCAGGTACGGCGCGAATACGTACGACAGATCAGGAATAGTCAAGAATGGTTGGGAGTAACACGCAGCTACTCGCTCAACCAGCATCGCTAAGCGAATCGTGTTCACGCAGCTACGCGCAACCTATTGGTGCTACTTTTTGAGGCGCAACCTGTGGTTACTTTGCAAGTACAGTTGTTGATTTTTACGCAAAAATCAATCTGTGTCAGTTCGCGACGAGACCTTGGTACAGTTTGAGAGAAACTGTTTTCTTTACACCTGAAGATACTGTCATGTGAGCTGATACAAATTTTGTCAAATTTACGGAAAATCCAGAAATGAACCCTACCTAATCCGCCCTAACGGTTGCATAAACTGACTCAATTGCGGAGCTACACCTAGTTATGGCGGTTTTACATTACACCTGAGTGTAGCTTAAAGCCTAGCCCGCCTAGTTTCAGCCTGTGCGAGTTCCTTACTCTTTACCTGCGTTGTTCCGCATTGATTCCAGCCCTGTACTCAACATGCTGGAGGGAAGGGGAAGTATTCATAAAAAGGGAACGTCTACACTGAGCTCTATGTTTTCTTCTCTTCACAGCCCAAATAGGACCCACGTGACTGAAGTCTTTCAGGTCTAATTGAGGCATGGCAACTTCGTCACAGGGAATTCCTTGCAGTGCGACATGAGCGGGTCGGACTGGGGTCGGTGCGACTTGGGCCAACTAGGGAAGAAATAGCTCCGTTTTCTTCGTTCCATCCTCTTACCCCCTTCTTGATCCATGGTATTACCTACGTCTTTGTTCAGGGACTTGCACAGAAATGGCTTCACCGGGTCAATTCCATCAGCCATCGGCAGCTTGAGCAAGCTGATAGCCCTGTCAGTTAACCACCGTAGCACCTTTCTTTCCTTGTTTGCAGGTACAGAAGGCATGCTAATCAAGTCTCCTTCATGATGTGCGCATTAGGCAACCATCTACTTTTTGTTTCTGCTGCTTGTCTCTGGTCTCGCTCTCTCCTATTCTAACGTAATCTGTTACATGGAATGCACTTTTTGCCCTATCAGGGATTTGAGCGCAAACAACATGAATGGATCCATTCCACCAGCCATTGGCGGCTTGATCAATCTGGCACATTTGTCAGTATCCACATTTCAGCTATCTCAATGTTTTTCACCATTGATTAAGCCAGTAAGAACGAATACGAGTCATAAGTTACAATGTATTGGTCGTGAAGTGCTCGTGTAACAGGCTCAAAGAGGAATAGATTATAATCCACGCTGAACAGGAATGTCTCTCAAATGCCCGAATTTTTAGCTGAAGATGATGTTTGACGACTGAAGACGTGCGACTAGTATGTAAATTTGAATCAGGTTTCTTAAACGGATACCGAATACCATGCGAGACTAAGTTATCAGTTCACCATTGGATGTCAGCAACAATGTTTCAAACTTCCCATCATGGCCCGTTTGTACAACCTAAGAACCAGTGACCTCCACATGAGAAAGGACTTTGATGAAGCACAAAAACAACGGTGCTACGTAACCAGACTTGGTTAGCCGAAAGTGTTAAACAATATTACACCTCATGTCGATGCTTTCATCTCTTGCTTGCATGTGTTTCTTCTCGTCATCTTCCAGTGTGTGTGTGTTTTTCAAAATTTCCCACCTTCCATTTCTCTCTCATCTTCCCTTATCCTTTATCCATGAAATATACCACTTGTCCCTTCAGGGATGTATCACAAAATGACCTCACATGTCCACCTAATTATGACAGTTGTGGAGTCAAACAGACCACCTGGAGTGCCTTCTGTAAAGAATGCGACTCTTTCTGCAATACTTGCTCCATCACAACACCACGTGAGGAAAAACCATTGGCTTTCTCTTGGAGTAGTCTAACTGGACGAATGTAGCAGCTAGAGTATTGCCGCGTGTATCTCCATGCTTTGGGCTCCCTTTATTTTCTTTCATGCAACCTCGACCTCACAATCTTTGTGCGACTTGATTCTTCACGTGATATTTCCTTTTTTCAATAACCACTCTCCTCATCGTCTTCCCCCGCGCCAGTGGCATCTCCCCCCCCGCCTGGAGCTTCACCCTTCCAATCTGAAGGTGGTCTGTCAACAGGAGCCATTGCTGGCATTGTGGCTGCTGCCGTGTGTGCCCTGCTGCTACTGCTGCTGACTGGCGTGCTGCTAGACAGGAGAGGTTGCATGAAGGAAGCAGGCATGTCCGCAGCAGCAACAGCAGCAGCAGCAGGAGGAGGAAAGGAGGGAGGTGTGGTGGTGGATCCAGAGGCAGCACGGCCACATGTATGCCACGAATACTCGCTGGAAGAGCTGGCTAAGGCAACGGCGGACTGGGCGGAGGGGAACAGAATTGGCAGTGGCAGTTTTGGTGATGTGTACAAGGGTGTGTCGCCTCATTGCAGCACTCAAGTTTGGGCCGTCAAAAGGGCCCGAGTGCTCACCAACGACTTCCACAGAGAGGTACTGCACTGCTTAATTGTTCCACCATTGTCTGCACTTGCACTAATGTTGATGCTCTTTCATGCTTCTTCCAATACATGGCTTTCATCATCCATGCTTGTACCATTGGATTCTATCCACTCTCAGGTGCAAGAAATGGCCAGCAAGCACCACCCTCATCTGGTACGGCTGTTGGGGTACTGCATTGACATGAACACAACCACAAGATGCATGGAGCAGATCCTAGTGTATGAGTACATGGAGAACAACGACCTCGAAAGCTGGATCGGGCCGGGTGTCTCGCCCTCTTTCCCTGCATCAACGCCTGGATGTTCTTATTGGTGTGGCAAAGGGGCTGCAGTACCTTCATGACTTTGGCATTGTGCATCGCGACATCAAGCCAGCCAACATTCTCCTCGATACAGATATGCAGGCAAGGAGTTGTGCGTGTGTCGTTGTTGCAATCGTGCACCAAGACTGCTCTTCTTGTATATCGGATCGCATTATCTGCTCTTCTTGTTCCTCCCTACAACTCTTTGCAGTATTTCGTGCCGCAGCCATTCATTGTTTGTTTGCAAAATCGTTTACCTTTATTATTGTTGCCATTTGTGGCAGGCCAAGATCGCGGACTTTGGGCTGGTGAAGCTGAGTGGAGGCACATCCACGGGCACCTCTGTGGCGGCCACTCGAGTGATGGGCACACCGGGCTATGTGGACCCCGCTTATTACAAAACACACAAGGCCACTCCAGCTGCAGATGTGCACAGGTGAGTTTGCAGCTTGTGTGCACTTGACAACAGAATGTGAACAGCCGGTACTAGGAGTGAAAAGATTTAACATTATTACAAAATTCTTTGTGTGGTCTTGTCTCTGGCAGCTTCAGAGTGGTGATGCTGGTGGTAATCACGGCACGCAAGGCCATCCACGTGACCGAAGAGAATCAGATCAGCCTTAAGCAATGGGTAAGTGCTGATTGTCACATTTGTGTGATGAGCATACTCTCATACCTTGGTTGCATGGGAAGGGAAGTTGAAGAGTAGGTCATCTACATGCAAAATTCAAAGCTAACTTATTTCAAGTCTTGCACTTACAATTACTCTCAGTTTTTTTACAATTGTGTTATCACCTAGGCATTTCGGGTGTGTTAGAATACGTGGCATTGTTTGTCATGCCAATGAGTCTAAGTTGAGATATATTCCTAGCTATTGTATCAGCATGTCCCAGCTCAGGTGATTGTCGCCGGACCAGAAGGGGTGTATCTCATCAAAATGGTCGAACCAACCTGAAATCCCAAAATCCATCACCTTCCCAAACTCACTGTGTCATCTTTTCCTGCAGGTGGCGCCATTGGTCGCATCTAGTGATGTGGCAGCATTCAAGGACCCTCACTTGGATGCTTTTGATGACTTGGTGTTGCGCATGTCTCGCTTGGCCCTCGCCTGCACTGCCATGCCCACTGCCTCCCGCCCCACCATGGGTCAAGTATTGGTGGATCTGGTGAAGATGAAAGAGGAGTTTGTTGGCGACAGGGTGAAGAGCATTGCATCCCGCATTGACAAGGAGATGGACATCTCATCTCACCTTGATTTCAATGCTGAGATAGCTCGGGCGCAGGACACAGCTGAGAAGATTGCTTCTTCTACTAATAGTGTCACTGTTTCTTGACACATGGTTGAGATATTCGCTGGTTGGCGTATGCACCAAAAGCTTTGGAGATTGTGCTGGATATTGATGGCTCACAATTGTGCCGCAGTACTGGATGACTAAGTCCATGGAATAGTCGTTGGAGGGAAAGCAAAGCCTGCACTTTATTGTCCAGCCCTCTCCAACTTAGTATTTAGGCCCTAGGGACCTCTGCAAGTACAAGGGGAACAACAAGCACCATACCGTAACATGGAGAGATACAACCTGGTGAAGTAGCTACCAGCAACACCTACAGCACCCCTAGACGAGATTAGACCACCATGGGGAAGCCCAAATCCAAGCCCAAGCAGGTTGGAAACTGCAGCTACTCAGCGAGTATCCAAACCAGCCGCCCGTCCATCCAGTGCAACACGGATGCGGCAACTGGCACGAGGTCGAGTGGCGCCTGCCGAGCGGAAGAAGCCAGCCGTCTCAATGCGGACGGCCCAGGACCAAAGTCAACACCAGGCGAGCCTGTCTCTAGGCCCATCTGCGAGAGGGACCGTAGCACCTCCGTCGCAGCCTTCACAACAGCCGCCTGCTCCGATTGCGACAGCCGCGGGGACAACACGCCGACATGTCAGGCAGGAACGGAGCTGGTCCAGTACCATTGCCAAGTGGTCAAGGCACGTCCCCACGGTCACAACGCGCTACTCGACGCGTAGAAGCCTCTCGACAGGCGGACAATCACCTCACCGACTCCATCGAGAATCCAGGTTCTTGTCGGAAAAGGATGCAGTTTCTGCAGCCGGCACAGGGGAGGCTAGCACCTTCCATGGGAATGGAATGCGGCGCCCCCCAAAGAGGACGGGATCTTGACGAGAACTGCGGAGAGTCACTACACAACAGAAGTGGAATACGGAGGAGGGCACGGGGTTATGCGAATGATCGTAGCGTTGCACTAGCATCCTTACTACTTGCTGTATTCTCAGAGAAGTTGGCAAGAGTTCCACTATGAAAATTGGAAGAACATCAAATTACAATTGAGGCATGCAAGTCGATATAGAAAGAATGGCATGCAACACCTACCAAGCACTCTGCAGGGCGAACTCTGCCAGTGCAACAGAAGAGCGGCCTGCCAACGCTGCAGCAGAGCGGTCTTCCAGCGTTGCACTGCATGCGGTCTGCCACCAGTGCAGTCGCAGGTGACTATCTGCAGTCGCATGTGACTATCTGCAGTCGCAGGTGACTATCTGCAGTCGCATGTGATTATCTGCGCACATGTGTGCGCCTACTAAGTAGGTGCTGGTCGACGGTTTCACCGTCAGGCATATTGCGCAGGTGCCAGGTCAAAAATGTTGTGTGATGCAACCATATGCATTCACGTCTGTCTGCCTCCCATCATATGTTCGTGCGTTGCATGCGTGGTGTGAGCGTGTGCAAGAATGCATGTTTGGCGTGGTTTGGATTTCCTGAGTGTGAATGAATGTTATTTGGCTTGAGCAGGTATCTGAAATAACTTCTCGGTTCAAGGGCTTTCCGACGAGCCAAGAATCGTCGCGATCGGAGCATGGACGAGAAAGTTACGAACGGTTGAAGTTCGTATGCTTTTGAAATATTGTTGCGGCGACTATGGGAAGTTGCGGGGTTGACTCTATATGGGGTACAGACATTTGGGGGTTGGAAAACTTGACATTCTACTGTAGATGCTGCCAAGTGGTTGGGAGAAGCCAAACCAGGTTGGCAAGTCAGGCCAAGTTGGAGTGAGGTGGATTTGAGAGGTTGGGAAAATGACAAGGGTCAAAGTTGGGGTTCCTGTAGGGAGGGAATTGTGTGCTTATGGGGCTTCCTTGGTTGAGGACTCCCTTGGGACCTTCCCTCTCGTCCTCCTCTCCCCTCCTACCTGGTTTATTGCTACTCTAATCCTCCTTGTGGTACTTGTGAACTATTGTGATTGAGTTAAGTTTCTGTGGCAGCTTACCCTCTAGTGCGCCGAATTTCATAACTCAAGTTATGCTCTATCGTTTGATACGATTCAATTTGGGAAAGATAGCCACAGTCAAGGGATACAACATACTCGATTTTGAGAGAATTCTGACGGTTGTTGTTTCGTCGACGGCGTTTCTTGTGAATGAATTTTCTGTCCAGAATTATAGACCAACGATTTTGTGATATTTCGGCCCCTAAACGTTCTAGACTCGGTCCTTAATCTTAACAAGTGGTATCAGAGCTGATTAAGGACTTTGTGAAGAGTCTACTGAGGTGTAAAGACCCTCTTAGACCCACCATGGCCTGTGGGCGTGCCTAAGTGGAGTTCTAGAGGTTGGATGTGACTTCCGCTAAGGGGAAACTCTGCCGAAATTTCGTTGGCGTCGACACTTGTGAAGATTTCATGGACCTACATTGTGACCAGCGAAGGGGGAGCTTAAACCTGTGATTGGAAGCAGAGGAGATGCGTCAAAGGAGTGGAGATGCAGCTGAAAAGAGGAGTGAGCCGCCACCATCCAAGATTGAGGCATTGGATGGCTCCAACTACGAGGAATGGAGTGGGCGGATGAGGAGTGCTTTCAAGCGCTACAAGCTGCTGAAAATTGCAATGGGAGAAGAGAAGATGCCAGAGGAAGGAGATGCCCGCAATCGTTGGATTGAGAAGAGCACGGTGCTGTACGACCTCATCCTCCAATCGGTCAACAACGACATGTTCCAGCACATCAAAGATCTGGTGGAGCTCGACGACTCGGGACCGAAGGTGTGGAAGCTACTGCGTGATGTGATTCAGCCCAACACGCTGCCGATGGTGATTGTGTTGGAGAAGGAGCTGGCTGTTAAAAGAACTAGGCAAGAATGATTGAAAGGAGAGAGGATTTCACTAGCAGCAGTTGGGGTACATATAGCAAACCCTAACTGGGTTGTACTCGCTATAGAGCACCCCACTACAGGCTAGACAATAATAACATTCTGACACACCCCCATAGCCAAAGTGGGGTGTAATCAGTACAATGAGCAGGCATAGCAATAGTTCACAATTATAAGCAAAGCTAGAGGTGATCATAGAGGGCAAGTGAGGAGGAGGAGAAACTGTGAGGGCGAGAAGATGAAAGGCGCCGACTGAAGCTGCAGACACACGGGCAACAGGAGCGGCGCGCACAGTGGCTACCGAGCGCACGAGGGCACCGGACTACGGGAGTATCTGGCTCCGCGGCTACGACGAGCACACACAGGAGCAACGGACCCACAGGCGACTGGCGAAGCAGGCTCGCTGGGCTACCGAAACGCGCGAGGGCATCCGGACTACTGGCGCTGCTGGCGTCACGACGGCTACCTCCACGCAACCTCCCCCGACCGTCCCACGCCCCTCTCACACACCCCCTGCTGACACCCTAGCTCCACTTCCACGGCACCCCCCTTAAACCCTAAACCCTCGGCTCCCACACACCCACCCCCCTCAGCGGCAGCTGCAGCAGTGGGAGACGGAGGAGGAGGAGGAGCCGCAGGTTACCCACACCGGTCACCCCCATGCCCGCCACCCCCAAACCCTAACGCAGGCAGGAGCACGGGAAACAGCAGGGGCGGGGCACGGAGGGGAAGGGAGGCAGCGGGGTGGCTCTTGGGCGCCACGAAGAAGCAGGGCGCGGGCCCCCCGAGGGCGCCACGGCGGGTGACGGGAGGGGGGCCGCGCACGGGCCCCCGAGGGCGGCTCGACGGGCGACGGGAGGGGCCGCGCGCGGGCCCCCTAGGCGCCGCGACGAGGCGACGGGAGGGGGCGGCGCGCGGGCCCCCAAGGTGCCGCGACGAGGCGACGGGAGGGGGCGGCGCGCGGGCCCCCAAGGTGCCGCGACGAGGCGACGGGAGGGGGGGGACGCGCGGGCCCCCAGGGCGCCGCGACGAGGCGACGGGAGGAGGACGACGGGGGGCAGCGCGCAGGTCCTCGGGGGCGCCACGACGGGCAGGAAACCGCCGCGCGCCTCGGGGCGCACGGCGGGCAGAAAACCGCCGTACGCCCTGAGCGCACGGCAGGAAGAAGACGGCGCGCGCCCGAGGCGTGCGAGAAGCAGAATAGCAGCGGAAGCAGTTAGGTGGCGGGCCCACCCACAGGATCGACCCAAGGGGGTCGACCTGCTCTGATAGCATGTTAAAAGAACTAGGCAAGAATGATTGAAAGGAGAGAGGATTTCACTAGCAGCAGTTGGGGTACATATAGCAAACCCTAACTGGGTTGTACTCGCTATAGAGCACCCCACTACAGGCTAGACAATAATAACATTCTGACACTGGCGTCCATCTCCATGCGACCGGGAGACGATGTGAAGCTGGTCCTCGACAATATCAAAGACACTTATGCGGGGATGGCAGCGGCGGGCAGCAAGGTGTCGCAGATGCAGCAGTGCACCAAGATCATCTCGGTGCTCGACAACTCGTGGGACAACCTCATCCCCACCCTCAACGCTCAGCAGGACCAATGGACGCCAGAGTGGCTACAGCAGCAGATTCTGCAGGAGGACTTTCGCAGATGCCACACGAGAGGTGGTGCTGTCAACAAAACTACTGAGGGGTATGGATCTGCAGGAGGCAGCAGAGGAAGAGGGGGAGGGAGAGGCCGAGGCCGTGGGAGAGGCTTTGGCAGAGGGAGAGGCCGAGGTGACTACAATGAGGGGCATGGGAGCTCTGGTGGCAGGGGGAGCACTCGAATGGAGGGAGCTTGCTGGTACTGCAAGAAGGCTGGACACCCATGGTTCAAGTGTTTCAGCCGGCCTGAGGGATGGGCACCCCCAGGCATGAAGCCGCCGAGTGGTGAACGTGCACGAGGTGGCGCTGTGCAAGGTTCAGGTGCACAAGGTAAAGCCTGCCCTGGGATGTTCGTCATGGTTGAAGATGTGAAAAAGAGTGAGAGTGATGTGGGTTTCGTTGGGAAGGTTGTGATGCACCCCCTCACTCACTGGGTGATTGATTCAGGTTGCACAAGTCACATGACTCCGCGGGCAGATTTGCTTGACGAGGTAAAGCCCCCTGGGAAGATCAAGTTTGTGGCTGCCACTTCAGGT